GTTAATGGAAGCAAGTCGACCATCAGCGGTCCATATGGTGGTGACTCATTTTGACCCATACCCTTCCAATTGCTTGATATGTTGTATGTTCCCCTGGTTTGAAAGGGAATCGATTTCACTGGACAACAATTGGCTGGCCCCTGGCTATGGAGAGCACAGCGCCTCCATCTCTTTCCTCCACCGCCTAAGCCGCTCTTAGCGAGGCAGCCAGAAAGCCTCCTTCGCAAACCCCGCCTCTGCCAGGTGGGCCACTTGAGCCTCGGGAACGAGGTCCTTTGTAATGGGATGACCATTGGCTGGAACACCACCCCAAAACGGATGGTTTTTTTTTTTAATTTTCGCCACATGGGAAAAAAATGCCCATGGTCCAAACTGGGGGCGCCCTAGATGGAATGTTGACCAACTGGCTCTCAACCTGGAAGCTCCAAAGCCTGAGCACCTGAGCCGACTCTGCCCGAAAAATCCCTCGGCCTGCAAGTCCTCGGTCATGCGCTGAAAATGGCCCCGCCGCTCTGCCACCTGGCAATCAGCGGCAAGTCCGGTGCTCGTACCGGGTGCTCGGTGCTAGTGCATACCTTGAGTGGTGGCAGCAAGCTCGCATTGAATCCAGCTCTCGAGCAACACGTACTAAGGTCCTAAAAAACTGGTCTGTCAGCTGCCTGTACAAGATACCGGGCAGCAAAAGTGTGATACTTATCACTAGAGTGTGATTGAAAGTAGGCAGCCTGACAGGGGCAATTGTCTTCTGCGCTGTTTCAAGCTTGGAAATGCCCACCTTTTGGCCGCCTCCATTGATTCCTCAACAGAATACCGAGCATCTGTGGGCTTGTCAATGCAGCTATCACATGAATCTGCCTAGTGGCTTAGAAACGATTCCCTGTCCACGGTGAACAACGTGGCCTGTTTACGCATGTCAATGTGTATACAGGAGTTGAGAGCACCAAGCATTCAGGAAGCCCATTTGGATTCGAACGGCATTCGTCCAAGTGTTCCGGAATGCATCAGAAGACCGGTCTGACGTGCTCTTCGAATCGGGGCATGCAAAGAGGACGTACGTGGAACGTGCCAAAAGTGTTTGCAGCTGAGTCAACAGGCCACTCATTCATGTCAACCGTATGCCAATAACGCTGCCACGGCTTCGGCGAGCCTCGCTCCGCAAGTGATGTAGGCGGCTCTCGCGGGACATCTTCGCTTCCTCTAAGGGAGTCCACAACTTTAGCAAACATCGCTGGCGTTTGTGACTCTATGAAAACCCATTTGCAACTTTTACTAAAATTACTAAAATTCCAAGAGTGGAAAGAAGGGATCCCCCAAAACAAAGGATCTTTACCATGGTGAGCTCGTTCTGCCCCAGGTGGGCTCGCCACAGAGCCCATCTCTTTCCTCCGGTCGCCGCTTGCACTCTGTCCGAGGCCCCGCTCACGTCACGCCCTCCAGCGGCGCAGGATCCGCAAGATGCGCTCCTCCACCGGCACGGGGACCTGACCGTCGAAACCCGCTCAGGGAAAGCCAGAGCTTTGCGGGTAGGCTACATGATTTGACCGGCAAATCCAGGCAATCGTTTTTTTTTTTGACTTGCTGGAAACCGAGGTTGGCTTCGTTTGAAAGCCAGTCACTTTTGACCCTGGCTTGTGAAGGTGAAACGCGGTGCCACCCTATGGTGAGTTGTGCTGAACTTGCCTTCCCATTGGGCAGGGAGCGGCAAGGAGCAAAGGCGTCAGGCTGGTATGTACAAGTCACGCAACTCCAAGTGCATGGTGATGTCCTTGCGCGGCCATTCTCACACATGTCCGACAGCATGGAATCAATAGAAGATCCGAACCTGCATGCACAACTCAACCCCCAACATATTTGCAGGCAGATGGATGACCTTTGTGGCTGAAGATGCTTTGTGACACATCCCACTTGATTCTTGTCGGACAAGATGCCGCCTGTTCACGTCCAACTATCCAGAATTCTTCACACGGGGATGATGACAAATAGAAACAAGTGGTGTTCAGGCGCATGCTGCATCCAAACTAAGGAAAAGGAGCTAACAAGAACTTCCACGAATTGAGCTTCATCTCTTCAAGAAATCCAAGCATGTAGCAAATATCAAAAAATGAAGCGAACCCAACATAGATGTGGGGCGGTCAGGTCTTCGCCAAATGCAAAGCAACTTGCTTGCAAAGCGTAGCATTCATAGGATCCAACCACCCTCTCCCCAGCCGCGCCCCCCTTCTTGTTTCCAGTGCAGAAGACTTTATTCCGGCCGGACGTGAGGTCTTATTTTGGAAAAACGGGGGAGGGGGATTTAGGTTTCATTTGTTTTGATTGTGTCTCGCCCGGAGTCAGGGTCAGTCAAGCGACAAACTAAGTATAAACGACCAACTAGCTCCCTGACTAGCTCACCGGACTCAACTATCTGAGGAGCCAAACAACCGGCAAACTAGATAACTAACTGACCACATACTCGAGCGTCTTGCAAGCTAGGTTGTAGAAGGCCGTGGTGTTTTGGCCACATTAAGCCCCCAGCTTCTTTTGAAGCCAGGAACTGTGTCAAGCACAGCTGCTTCCCACTTCGGGCTTGAATTTGTCCAGGGGGGGGTGCTCTGCTTTTCCATGCACGTTGATCTCCATGCAATCCATGTTGGCTTAAGGTGTTCTTTGTAGAAACCTACTGAAGTGCAGCACATCGACGAAAACAAAATGCCTCAGCTGCCACGCTCGAGAGACTCTTTTGAGAACAAGATCAAAATCAGGACGAGCCCTTCTTCAACCAGCAGGATTTGACATTTCGTTGCTCAGAAAACTGACCCAAGCAAAACGCGCCGTGCGCGGCCCCTCGCTCCAGGTTTGTCTGACAAAGGAAAATGTCGTCAGATGCAAAGCCTGTGCCAGCACCGGCTGGCCGCTGAGGAAACAATCAGTTTGTCAACGACCACCGCTGGTTCAGAGAGGAGCTCGTAGAGGCTTGGACCACGTTCACATCAGTGGTGTGGTGCCAGCGTTTCTGGGGACTTCTCCTCAAGAGAAGATTGAGCGGCGATGCACTCATGTGCCAGGAGTTGCTAGACAACGATCAGCTCAAAGACCCCGTTGAAGGAGTGACAGTTTCAAGAACACTCTCAAGAAGTACTTCGTGAAAGAAACTACAAACGTGTATCTTTGCGAACGTCTCAGTTTCTTTAATCGCCGGAGAAACAACAGCGAGTTGCTCATGTTCATTTCCAAGTTTAGGGCCGCGTGGAGTCGCCAGAGTTTCCAGATGATCCCGAGACACTTCTGTCGAGAGCGCCTACGGCATGACACCGAAAGCGAAAACCTGATATCTCAACTACTCATCATTCAAGGCGAGCTTGTCCACCAACGACGAGAGAGATTGGTCAGTGCAGTGTCGTTGAGAAACATTCCGCTCCAGAACTATAGCTCTAACATGCTGAAAACACGGCGGCAAACTTGCACGACACGCCACGCCTGCCGCTGATGCCTGCCTGGCCTGCCTGCACTGCATGCCTGGCCTGCAGATGGGATGAGCTTTTACTGTGGATTCCCCCCCTCCCAGGCCACACAAACGGTATTCAAGTTAGGTTTGCGTTGTACTTGCGCTCTGCCTGGAGTTGTTCTTCGTTCACCTTGTTTGCGATGGCAAGTCACGCTCACTTCACAGGCGAAGTCCTACGAGGCGTCGTCTAAACAGGGCGGAGGGATGTCGCGCGCGAGGCCTCGGGCAACGAACCACAAGCTGGCGGATCGCAAGAAAGGTGGCGAAAGGAGAAGCACGCAAACCAAAGGGAGAGAGCGGGATACTGAACTCACCGAGGAAAACGACGAGCCTTCTGCCCGTCCAAGAGCAGAGGACCTCTTGGGCCTGGTGCGCAAGCGTAGGCAAGAAACACCAAGTACAAAAAACCAAGCAGTAGCGACAGGCCGAACAGTCTGCAGGCCGAACAGTAAAAGAAAACCATCAATGTGATTCTCCCAAACGACCCGATCTGAAGAAAAAAACAAAAAACAAAAAGCAAAACAGAGGGAGCAAGAAAGCAGCGCTCGCCCACTACGCGGACCACTTCAGTGGCCCGAGCCAGCGAGCCAACTTGCTCAGCTGGCGAGCCGCAGAGAACCAGCTGACCTACCCAGCTCACTCGCGCGGCTGTCTTACTAACTGATGAACAGGTGGCATGGAAGCAGGTGGCGAAATGAAGCCAAGTTACTTACAAAACAAATGTCGCAGAAAACGAAATATAGATAGACCGGCAAGTAGGCTAAAACCAACTTGGCTGCGTATTTGCCAGCTAGCTATCAAGCCAACTAGCCAACTGGCTACCTGCTAACTTGCTAACTTTCTGACTGGCTAACTAGCCAGCTCATGAAGTTGCATTCAGGCCAACAAGCTGACCGTCTAGCTGAGGAATTAACAAATTCCCAAGTGCATGACATCTTTTGATTGAGCCAGCCAGATCCTCACTTGACGCGTCAGCCACGATTCATACGCATGTCACAATGCATGAAGGGTCTCAAGAATTGTTCAGTCTTGGACGTCTGCCCCCAGCTTCCCCATGAGAACGGAGCGCAAGCAAGCCAGCAAACGAAGTGACCAGCATCATGCGCAACAGATCGCTTCAAATGCAGGAAGCGGAACCTCGTATCCCTTGCGTTAGGAGTAAACGGCTTGAAGCGCGCGGCATTTGAAAGATGTAGCATACGAGCCCACAAAAGCCCTGCTGCAGAGACATTTGGAAACTGGCGCCGCCTCCGAAGGCTGCCTTTCGTGATACAAAATGATGGATGTGTTTGAATGGACCGGATTGTTTACAACACCTATCACTACCCTTGAATCAATTCAATGTCTTTGTTTCTATGCGCGAAAACTGGCTCGAGTTTTTGTCCTATCCCTTTGGATTTGATCAGGCTTCGCTTCTCTTGTCAGCCTAGGTCTCTCTTCATCCTAGCTTCCGAGAAAGATGCCGACATCTTCGCATATCACCAGCGTAGTCATAGCGCAGTCTGTTTCTAACTGCTCACTTGCAAGTCTTTTCCGAGGCCATGGATGGCATTGTCCCGTTCGGTGCAGTCAGTGCCTGGCTCCGGTCAAGCTTGAAAGTTTCGAGGCTTGTGACCAGTTGGGACCAAATGCTTCCCGATTCGTTCTCCTCAAGGAGTAAGATTTCCAAGGTGGAAATCATGTTGATGTTCTGCGCCGGTTGGGCTGGCTAGGCAGACAAATGAGTGAATGATCATCTGTGCGTTACCACAAGAACTGCGCACTTAAGTCCGAGCACAGCTGCCACAGCCTGTGACCCGTTTTCATGTGTGCATTCTCTGCCATGTTTGCCTTGTCCAATTATAGAGTGACATATCAAGCTGCGTAGGATTGACAACCGCATACAAAAGAGGGCCATATTGTCATCACGCGAGTTCTCTCGTGGCAGATGTTTCTTGCGTCAAAAGGAATGCATCAAACAAGTGCGTGTATACCAAGTCAAGCTCCCAATACAGGTGCGCTGGTCAAAATAGGCTAGCCCATTCCAGTTCCGGCTTACTTGGGGAAATGAGAACACGGACCGACACATCCAGCAGTCGGTGTTCTGGTGACTCATTCTGACCATAGGTGGCCTTTTTGGAAAATAGCTGGGTTTCCCTGGTAAATGGAATTTTCACCCCATCTAAAACCAGTGGAGCCCATCTATTCTTAACCAAACTAACCTAAAAAGCCCCACCTAAACCAGTTGGAACGCATCTATTCTCAACCAAAACTAATCTAAAAAGGACACCTATGATTTTGACATGTTCTGGTGACTCATGTTGACAGCATACCCAGCCAGAAGCGTCCACACGACCAACCTCCCGCTCCAGGCTCTCGGAGGAGCCGCTCTTGCCGGAGCTGCCATCCTCCTGAGCTCCGCGCGCGAGAGGGGATGAAAAGGTCCGAAAAACGTGGGATGGCCGGGGAAACCTAAAAAAAAAAGTGCTGGCTTTTGCTGGGAAAAGTGTTCACTGCCATTGCTCATGTTGGCGCCGAAGGGAATATGGATCAACCCCCATGTCCAAAACCGTGCACAGAAACTCTCAGGTCCCGGCAGATTCTTCACCTCTCTCGGCATTCCTAGCAACTCAGCACGCATTTGCCATGCGAGCGTCCGCGTGAAAGCTCTAGCAGCCATGGGTCGAGGGCAAGATGCAGACGAGTTTCGCTACTGTGACAGCGGTCACCTCGCCCACCCGGAGCAGCCCGTTTTGAGGGTGCAGCATGTGCACGGTCTCCAGCGGAGTAGCGCCTCAAATGACCGCTTTTTCATCCGCCCGCGAGACTCCCCGGGAACCTGAGCCCGAAACAAGACTGCCCCTGGGCAAAGGCGTTCACGTGGTCCTGAATCCAGCAATACATCGTCTCCTGATTCTTCTCCGCCACCCATTCCATCAAATTCGGGCAATCTTGACCGCTCCCGCCAAAGTGAAATTGCGCGGCTTTGATCATGAAGCCTGCCTGGGCAACGAAGCAAAGAAGACAAAAAACGGGTGCTCTCGGGCCAATCGGGCTCTAGCCCTCTGCGCATGGATGCCTTCGTGCGAAATCCACTCGCCAGGTCACGTGTATGTCAGTGGCATCAATGACCAGGCTCACCGAGTCGAGGCCGTCCAAAGGGACCCACTCATCCTGCGCGCAGGAACAAACACTCGGTCGCTTTCTGCTCCCCTGCCAAAAGTTTAACTTTTAGTGGTTTAATGGAACACCCATTAGCTTGCAAAAAGTCAAAGGTTTAACATCCAAGCAAAATCCACCAAAGAACACAAAACCGCGTGACCGCGTGTTGATCTCTGCCCTTCCTGAGCACACGTCGCCTTGAGGGCTTCATTCTCCTGGCGCTGCTCCAAGAGCTGCCTCCAGGAATTTAGCATCTCTCCCTCAAACTGTCGAAAAAACCATCCGCCCAGAACTCAGAAAGGTCAATGGTGCGCATCTGAGGGTGGCCTGAAAGCCCTTTTACAGGTGATGACATCTCCTTCACTCATACCCTCCCTTCCGCGCACCTGATAAGGTCGCAACCTGAGCCCCTGGAGCTATGGGAGTTGGAGCTGTGGTCGTTGGAGGTGTTGGAGTATGCTCTCCACATCGACTCCTCGCGGAAGTTCGGAAATGGGAACTGTACGGCTGAAAAAATCAACCGAAGCCATAAGAACTGTAGTGCTAAAACTAACCACCCCGCGGCACCCCCCAACCCCCAACCCCCAACCGCCCCAACCCCCCCAACCCCCCCAACCCCCCAATCGCCCCCACCCACCCCCCAATCGCCAGACCCGTCCGTCTGTGTGACGACAACGCCGAGGAGATGCTCCACGCCGAGTGCATGCAGTCGCGCGTGGTAGATCTGTGCGTCGCAAGACTGCGCGCGGGGACCGACCAGCTCCAGAGCCAGCGCGTTCGCTGAGGGTTCCGAGTGGTTCATGGCATCCAGGAATCTCTGCTGATCAGACGGATGGATGAAGTCCAGCATCGATCGGCCTTCAAGCATGCTCTCCCCAACGAGGTGACAAAATGCCTGCTGCGGCTGCACAATCTCGTAGGATGATGTCAACTGCACACAGGCATCGCAGGCTGCGGTCAGAATCCTGTGGGCGGCATTGCAAGAGATCTCAACGTCTCGGCCGTTGGCCTCCAGCCGCATGTTCACGGCCTCCCTATTCCGTAAAGACCAATCCAACTGCAGACAAACCAAGGCAATCTGTATCACCACAAACACTTCAGAAGCTATGCTCGACGACATGCAGGACTGGTCGCAGCTGGGCTCCTTTGCCATGGCCACACAAATGTACAGCGGCGAAAGCACGATGTTCGTCACCGAGGTGCGGATAGGGTCTAGGGACATGATTCCAATAAGAATTCGGCCAGCAGCAAGCGCGGGCTGAAGTTGCCTGGATACACCAATACCTGGCAAGGTTCAGACATACACTTATACACTTCTGTTTCAAGGTACTAGCAGTGCCAGTAGTTCTAGTGATCCTTGTGGTACATGTGGTAGTAGCAATAGCGCTAGCATAAGTCGTAGTAGTGGTAGTGGTAGCAATAGTCGTAGTACTACTACTACTACGACCACTACCACTACTACCACTACTACTACTACGACTACTACGACTACTAGTAGTAGTAGGAGTAGTAGGAGTAGCCGGGGTAGGAGGAGTAGTAACAGTAGTAAGAGTAGCAACAGCCGTAGGGCCAGTAAATGTAATAGGAGCAATAGTCGTAGTAGCACTAGTAGTAGTAGTAGTTGTAGTAGTGGTAGTAGGAGTATGGGTAGGAGTAGGAGTGGGCGTAGGAGTAGGAGGAGGAGTAGGGGTAGTAGGAGGAGTAGGAGTAGATTCAGATTTGGAGCCTGGCTGGCATTATTTACATTGCCTCGTAAGAACCGTTTCTCAGCGGCCGGCCAAGCCCAGATCCAGGCTTTCTGCAGAAAGGAAGCAACCCTAGTCTGCAGCTGACCCAGGACAAAGAAGTGGAGCAGAAAAGAGCCAGGAAAAGCTTTGAGCTGACCAGATCTTTAGATTTGAAGCCCGGATGGCAATTTTTACATTGCCCCACACGAACAATATATCAGCAATCGGCCAGCCCCAGATCCGAGATTTGGGAGGAGACTCGAAGAGAAAAGAAGCAAGTGGCCATATGGCGAGAAGGAGTATGAGTAAGAGTAAGAGTAGGACTAGGAATAGAGCAGGAGTAGGAGTCAGAACCAGAATGAGAATAAGAATAAGAGAAAAAACGCAAGAACAGGAGTACGAAAAATAGAAGGGGTAGGAGAGGAATAGCAGTAGGAGTAAGAATCACAATAAGAACAAGAATAAGAAATAAGAGTAAAACTAACCAGATTCGGAGTAGGAAGAATAGGAGGTGGCAGGAGTAGGAGTAGTGGTAGTAGTCATCGTCGTAGTGGTAGTAGTGGTAGTAGCAGTACTAGCGGTAGTAGTAGTGGCAGTAAGAGTAGTAGAAGTAGCAGCAGCAAAAACATTTGTAGTAGTAGCAGCAGCAGCAGTAGTAGTAGGTGTACTAGTACTAGTACTAGTACTAGTAGTAGAAATAGTGGTAGTAGTAGTAGTAGTAGTAGTAGTAGTAGTTGGTTGTTGTTGTTGTTGTTGTTGTTGTAATAATAGTGGGAGTAGTAGCAGTTGTTGTTGTAGTAGTAGTAGTTGTTGTTGCTGTTGTAGTAGTCATAGTAGTAGTAGTAGTAGTAGTAGTAGTAGTAGTAGTAGTAGTAGTACTAGTTGTAATTGTAATGGGAGTAGTAGTAGTGGTGGTGGTGGTGGTGGTGGTAGTGATGGTAGCAGTTTGCACCGGATTTTGGCACTGCCCACCTATGCCGAGCGCAAGCAGGTTTAAGAGTATCCCCACACGCTGCATGGTGGCGTCGGTGAGAGCCACAGCAGGACGGGCACAATAACGCAGTGTAATCGCAGCAACGAGGCAGCTCCAAAACTGTGGCGACGCCTCGAAGTCTGTACTGCCCAGCTGTGGCAAAACACAGATCAGCGAGAGCAGCAGATCTGCCGCAATCGCCCAGAATGTGGTCATGGCCTTGAAAACCTTCAGGCGTCCTTCCGCTACTCGAGAAGCAATCGCATCTTCCTCAGTCCGGCTGCCCAAAGACCCCTTACAACTTATTCGCGATCTCAGCATCGTGCCTAGCTATCGCATGCGAGCGTCAACACTCACAAAATGACGCCACTGCCCAATTTAGATTCGTGCTTGGATATCAGGAAGCGCCAACCCTTTGACTTGCAATCATGAAGTGCTCGCCCGTTTAGCCCATGTGAGGTGTGACAACATTCTGCTTCTCCCCGCCTGTTTCTCCCCGAGGAGAAGCGAGTCCCAGCTCAAGCTCTTCTTCAGAACATCTTGCGCAAATCCCAGCTCCTGCTTGTAGTCCCATAACAGCACCCGCGTCAGGAATACACCCAGCACCGCGAGCGATGGCAAGTACTCACCTTGCATGGTCAGCCTTATAGAGCTGCAAAGCAAATCATTAAATGGCTGCGCTGTCTTCGTCATCTGAGCCAAGTAGACAGGTAAGTTGGAACTGCGGCTAAGAACCCACAGCCATGGTCAAAACTCCCGTGGTTCATGGTCATGGTTGGTGCAATGGGAATTATTACAGCAGTTATGAAGGATCTGTAGGTGGAATCGGTCCCTTGAAGATGGCACGCATGAAAAGGTCCCCCTGCTCCAAATACCCACTTTTTCTTTCATTGGCTTTTTTTCGGAGAACCTAGTTTTTCAAGGCAAAATGCCTCCTTTTTTGGTAGAGGGTCGACACCGTAAAAAACGGCCGGGTACTTGGAGTCGTGGGGAGCTTCAAACGGGCGTGGCACGCTCGATGCTCGCCAGGCCTTCCGGGTGGCCCGCAAGCGGCGCACTCGCAAAGCCTAGCGGTGCAGTCGCGTGGGGCCGCACACCCAGAGGGATGTGGGTCGAAACCTCAAAGTTCTTGGCCCCTTTCCCCATGGACCAAACAACTGGCTTACCCCAAAGGGAAAACTTAGGTTTTGACCCAGACTATGAACATCTACTCGGCAATCAACCTGTCCCAGCTTACATTTTCTGACAAAAAAAATGCTCTCACGTAGTGCGTTCGCTCTGAGGCGGTGAGTCTCCTAAAGGTCTAGGTACGCTCTTCACGGAATCTCTATCATTCTAGCTGCAGGCAGCAAATACACGCGTCTGTACCGCAAAATGGTCCGGAAGGAGCAGTCAGGGGTTCTTATGATCTCGCAGAGATGGTGATCGACTGGACAATCATGTCCTAGCATTGTTGCTATCTTGATCTCTAGATATTTGGATCTTGCATCCCTTATTTGTGGTTGCATTTTGTGATTAATTCTCGAAAACTGCAAATCTACATCTCTGACATGCAAACCTTCACTTCCAAACATTCTCGTCACACACCTAAGGGTGTAGCCCGGCCTCAAACCAACAACAAAAGCCTCAGCCGTATTTGTGTAAATGGTACATGCAAAAGAGGCATAATCCATCAAATTGGTGTACAGGACGGCTACACGACATTAGTACACAAAATCGGGAGCGAAAGACTTTAATCCGTTTTCGCACTCGCGAGGGGGGGGGGGAACCCAGAGGGCGAAATCGTTTCAATGATCCAAGCTGGTGTCCAAACTCTTTCCAGGCTCTTAATTGGGGTGTTGTCTCAACATGGCTTCAAGGTGGAATCGATGGAAACCCAACAAAGACTCTCAGAAAATCATGGAAAATCCATATTTCAAGGTAAAATCGATGGAAGCCCAACAAAGACTCTCAGAAAACCACGGAAAACCAGAGTTCAAGGTAAAATCAATGGAAACCCAACAAAGACTCTCAGAAAATCATGGAAAATCCAGGATACAACAACCTTTCTTGTTTGGTAAAATCGATGGAAACCCAAGAAGCATCAAAGCACATCGAGAGAGAAAAGTTCTTGCCCTCCGTCTGGGCGTTCCGCACGGAGAGCTTCGCTGCAACGGAACGCCCATGGCCGGCCCAAACATCCACGTAGGCCTCCGAAAGTTGTTTTTTTGGTGCGACAAGGCGGGTCTCTTAAGGAAAGTCAGGAATCAAAAGGTTCCCAAAACCAAGGGGGGAAAAAGGTGGTTCAAGGGCTTCTTTCTTGAGGATACCCTTTTAAAGTTGGTTTAAAGGGCAACCAAAAGGACAAACCGCCCTTGTGAGGTTTTTGCTATCTGGTGGGGATCTTTTCAAAGATAACAAAGGCCTCCGGAGATGTTGATTCTCTTAGAAGATCCTAAGGAAATGGTCCCTGTGCTGGAGTCTCCCTTTTTGTCTCAGGCGGTTTGCTCCAAGCATCCTCAATGTCAGCAGTGCATAAAAAAACATTGGTCGTTTTAGTAGGTGGTTCTACTACCTGGCCTTCTCAAGGTTTTTATGAGGCCTGAATGAATGTTTGCATCCATCTTAGTAGAACCCACACTCAATTTGTTTTGGGCACTGCTTGTGTCAGTGCGTAGAATTTAGGGCTGCGCTCTGAGGCTCCGTGACGGAAGAACACATTGGAATACTCCAGAGGAAAGCTGGGTGCATGTGAGACACAATCAAAACCCGGTGTTGAAATGGTCTACCCAAATCCATGTAAAGAATTGAGAAGGCGGCCGCAGCTATTGATGCTTGGGGTTGTCCCTTACTAACCTTCATCTACCTGGCTTTGATTCAGGCTCATGTGACTAAACCAAACGATCTTAAGCCTTTAAGCATTCTGTGGCACTCAGGGCTGACCCTCTAAGAAAGACTATCTAGTGTCAGCATTGTTTAGTGATCTCAGAAAGCCCGTTGCACTTAGCGCTAGCTGGGGCGCGTTGATCCAACTTCCAAGTTCTTGTGTGTGTGTGTGTGTGCCAGTAACTGCCTGACAAGGGTTGAACATAGCCTGACTTGGCAGTGTGCAAAATCATGGAATTGTCATCGGGTTTACACCGCATATTTCCGTGCCAGACAAAAAGCCGGCGTTCGCTAGCGAGCAAAAGCTGGCCAGTACAGGTTCAAAACTTGCAAAAGTAGCTGCAGAATTGTCGTGGATGTCTTAAACCACTCCAGAAGCAGTGCCCACTAAAGGGAAAAAAAGATTGGTCTCCCAGATATATCACCTTCCAAGACTGAAGCTCCTCGGCTGCCGCTCAAAGGTCGGCCGAAATGTTGGGTTCCAAATCAATCTGTGACCAACCAGCCTGACTCAAGGAGAGCCATGCTCGTTCAGAGTCGTGCCTCGGCCAGCCAGAACTTGCACGGCGTGCGCGTTTTTCGTGGGTCCGAAGTACCACCATAGTAGACAACCAACATTCTTGCTCTTGGTGTTTTTACAGGGGGCTTCCCTTGGTTGCACAAAAGGGAACTGGAATCACTAGGCACACTAAGCCGAGTACGTTTGTTGGAAAGGCGCTCGCATATTCAAGTCGCTCCGCGCCTCAAAACCGACAGCGAGTCCAGTCGCATTCTCTCTCAGGCTGCATATGAGTCACAAAATGAGGTCAGAAAAACGGCTTCAAACCCACCAACCGTGTTTTCCCACATGTCCCACATGAAAAAAGACATGTCGCACAGATTCACATGGCCTCGTCTTTTTTAGGGTTCTGACTCAACGGCGGTTTCATTCTAGGCTCTCTCTCTCTCTCCCTCTTTTTGTAGGCCCGCCTTAGCCTTTGCCCATGCCTTGTTTCTGGCTCCCTCTACAGGGAAACCAAAAATGAGCAACCAAAACATGTTCCCCCCCTGTCTCCCTGGTGTTTCCACATAAAACAAAGGGGAAACCCCCCCCCTTCCGGTTTATGCTGGTGTTTCTACAAATAAACAGAAAAAGGACAGGAAAAAACAAAAAACGCTTTTCTCCCCACCACACAACGCCCCGAAAGTTCCGCCACCCCTTCATCCCCCCCCCCGCCCCTTGCGAGCCATCGACCGCCACCCACGCGCGCCTGCGTGAGCCGCTGCCAGGCCTGGAGCCCCAGGTCCAGCTCCGTGAGGCCGAAGCGCGGCGTGGCCAGCGACCTGCCGCTGACTCGCGAGTGGCTGACTCGCTGACTCGCACCTCTCACTGACTCACCGGAGGCATAAGCTCGGGGGAAACCGGGATGGCAACCCAAAAAATGGATCTGCGGGGTCTGTTGGGGGTTGAGATTGGCTCAAAGAAATGGACAATTCCATACCAAAATGGCAGCCTTGGTAAATTGGAAAGACTAAAACCCGCGTTGGCCTGGTGTAACAAGCGCTTTTTGGGGAGAAATGGGAACAAAGGAGTTGGGGTCCCAAAATCCCCCACCCTCTCACTATTTTTCCTTCTGCCACACGAAAAGCTGCGCGCCTTCCTACCCAATGCTTGGCCGGAACGGAGGCTGTGAAGCACAGGCGCATGTCCTCGCGCCCGTTGAGGCCCCATTTCCTGCATCGCTAGGTACCACTGACCACCAAACCACTGGAGCAAACCCCTGAAGAGAAGCCAAGAGTAAACAAGGGCGAACTAAGGGGTTCGGTCTGGGGGGGCTTAGCCCAGATTCTCTTTTCGCAAGATTCTCTTTGGACTTCCGCGGAAGTCCGAATCGCATGGCACACCCCGACGCCGGCGCCGGCACGGCCCTTCGCCTGGGCTCCTCCACGAGCGCCCGCCGGAACAGCTCTTCCACCTGCGAAGCTCACGACCGCCCTGGACCGCAAGCCTCACGAGTTTCTTCCGGGAAAAACGAAAAAAAGAGAAAAAAAACGTCGGAGAGAGGCCTTCGGGTGGTTCCCGAAATTGGGGCCCGAAATTGGGGCGGGTTCCAAGTGACTGGTCCCCTTGCTTGATTCCCATCCAAGCTCGTCTTCAGTCCCTCGAAAACACCGGGCTTCCCCATGTGGCTCAAAAATCATTTGAGCCAGGGCTCTTAGCGCAGCATTTGGTCTTTGGCTCCAGAAAACCAAGCTGCCAGTTTCAGGATTCCCTTTCTTTGAGCAGCCGGGGATGTGAATTTTAATACAAAGACCCTTTGGACATCATTTTGGGAGCAAAAGGTCCAGCAACCACGTTGTGGTTCCCTATTGAAATGTTGGCCACACTTCCCCTCTATCCAACCCCCCCCGCGCTCCCCCCGACTCCGGACTCCGACCTCCTCCGCGCAGCGGGCTTTCGCCACGCGCCGGGCCATGGCCGCCAGGACGTCCCGGAAGCGCTCCTTGGGTGGGAAAAGAAGCTAACGGGCGGGCTGAAACGGGGGGTCGGGGGGGGGTCCCTCCATTTTTGGGGGAGGAAGGGGGGGATGTCCCAATTTTTGGTGGGTCTGCGGATTTTTTTTGGGGGGTTGCTGAAGACCAAATGAAAACCCGCATTTTTCATTTATGTATGTTGGGGGAGAGGCTTCAAACATCACTCCGAAAAGAAGCTCCCCTAAAAGGCATAAGTTTGGCAACCAGAAGCCGATGTTCAAACCACCTGTTTAGGGGGGAAAGGGGGTGAACCGTATAGAAATTGTACCTGAGCTCGTTGCATTTTTGCGCTCATCCGCTGATCAACTCAGTCTCTGGGTTTACCACTCAAAAAACAGAGAAAAAAAGGAAAGCCTTGGGCAAAAAGAAAAGGGTACTTCTTGGCTTACCACCCAAAAAGCGTCAAGTCGGAAGTGGGCAGGTCCTTGCTTGGGGGACCCCCCACCCCACAAAGAAAAAATACTGTAGTGTTCCTGTTGGTTTCCCGTTAAACCCCAAAAATAGCACCCAAAATTACTTCGCTTCGAGCAATCCCCACCCTCCGCACTCACGAGCTTGCGACTGTGATCACGGTTGTGTGAATTCAAGCATGGTTTTCGAGTGGCTTGGGCCCTATGATTGCTCAACAAGCTTTGCATTGAGAGCCTTATCCACCTGTCTGTGCGTCAAACTCCACTTGTCTGCGAGCCGATCTCGAGAACTCAAACATTGGTTCCGTTAACAAAAGCCAAGCCCCTTCAAAAAAGAAACCCGGCGGGGGATGAAACAAAGTTGCTTATTCGCCCAAGCAACACAAAAGCATCACCCTTTCAGCCTCAGGGCACATCCAAAACACGAAGGCACCAACATGAAATGTAAACTGTGCGCCGGGCGGGACATTAAGCAAAACCAGACTGGCGAGCTGCTCCGGCGATACTGGCAGGGTTTTCACTGGCGAATACTGGCGAGCCGCTCCGGCTCGATACTGGCCGGATACTCGGCAGGACCCACCGGCAAGGGATACTCAGCGGGATCCACTGGCGAGCTACTCTGAAATACTCAGCGAAATACTCGGCGGGATCCGCTGGCGGGCTGCTCTGGATACTCAGTGGGCGGGATCCACTGGCGAGCTACTCTGGCGGGATACTCGGCGGGATCCGCTGGCGAGCCGCTCTGGCGGGATACTCAGCGGGATTTTTAGTGGCGAGCCGCTCTGGCGGGATACTCGGCGGGATCCACTGGCGAGCCGCTCTGGCGGGATACTCGGCGGGATGCACGGGCGAGCCGCTCTAGCAGGATACTCAGCGGGATTTTTAGTGGCGAGCCGCTCTGGCGGGATACTCGGCGGGATCCACTGGCGAGCTGCTCTGGCGGGATACTCGGCGGGACCCACTGGCGAGCTGCTCTGGCGGGCGGGATACTGGGTGGGGGCGTGTTGTAGAAGCATCGCAAACGCGGATTCCAACATAAAATCTAACAACCCCTTCCTGTCGGGTGGGGAACAATAAAAAAGCCACACCCAAGGGACGAGACCTGAGACAAAGAGCTTTGGTGCGTTGATTGGCCGACCGGTACCCTCTCACGGGCCACCCGGCGGCAGTGGCACGCTTGGCATCATAGCGAGACGCCACCTCAGGGTTCATCTGGCTATGAATTTAAGTGGGGAACCCCCGAAAAGTGGTTGCTGGACCTTGATAAATCCCCACCTAAATGTCCACCCAAGTCATACCCAGCTAACTAAAATTCCCTAGCTGAACCCAAACTAAACTTAAATGTCCATCATTCACCAAAGGGTCCCCCAACTAAAATTCAAAACCATTTTGTTCAGTGGAGCAAAACCAGCGCAGCGGCTGACGAGCGGCGCTGAAGGGACCCACCGCGGCATGTGCGCGATACAGCCGCCTGCAACGCTCCGTGCGCTACTGGCTCCGGAAGTGCTTCCTATTGGCTCAAATCCATCAAAAAGGTTGCCCCAAGATGATGGCGGGTGAATTCTCATGGGGTCTCAGGTATCCAGCTCCCAATAAACCGCAGGAAGCACCCAACTTCGGCCTCGGAACTGACGCATGTCGCGCCTTCCGCCGTGCACGCGGCAATGCACGCCTCTGCCTTGACACGCCTCGCATGCACGAAACCGGAACCGAGGCTGAGGTCGGCCGAAAACATACGGCACAGGGGGGGGTGCCGCAAAATAGCATTCGGACCCCTTGTAAATGATGGCCAAAAAGGGGAAATTAAAGGAAACCACCAGATCTCAAAACACACAGATCGGAAATGCTGATTTTACTGGCTGCTGGAGTTGGCGATCGATGTCTGAACACGTGTCATAAGCGTCATGGCGATCTGTTCACGGATTCAGCCAGCCTTGTCCATTGGCTCGGCGCTGCGCTTTCTGCGCACACCTTCGCTGCAAAGCATTTCTTGTAAAGCAATCAACAGACACATTCTATCAAGCCAACACTTGGAACATGTCCCAATGTCCCGTAAAACAACCTCCGCCCTCTAAATACTGGGCTGTCCTCAGGTCCCCTGCTAAAAGTTTGACCTTTAGCAGGTTAAACGGAAATCCAACCACTAAACACCAAAAAGCTTTAAAAAAAAGCTCCTTAACCAACTGGATGGCCGGGGTTCCCACCAAGTAAATCCAGGTGATTCCAACACCACCCCTCCAGGTCCATGCCATCCCCGCCTCTCGCTGGGCTGGGGCTGGGCCTGGCGTCCAGGATCCAGCGCTCCAAGGCCAGGCGCTGCCGCTGCGAGAAGCTGCGCTCGATGAGACTCCGCCGCCGCTCCGGGCTGAGGCGCTGCAGCAGCTGGTACAGCGCCGCGGCTTTGGTCTTCTTGGAAGGCGATGGGAGCGGTTTGCCCTGGAAGTGCCCATCAGCTCCATTGGGTTGCGAGCCATCCCTGGGGTGCGGTTTGGGCGGGAGATCGGCTCCCGCTCCGTTGGGGTGCGAGCCGGCTCTGGAGTAGCTTTTTTTGGGCGGAAAGTGCCCATCATCATCGCTCGACCCATCTCTGAGTTTGGGTTTGGGCGGAAAGTGCCCATCATCTCTTGGTGACCCATCTCTGGGTTTTGGCATTGCCTCCCCACAGCCTCCCTCCAGTTTTTACTGGGGAGGAGGGGGAGGCGAGCGGGGGGGTGCGGGGCAGGGCACCTTGGGAGGAGTGAAGTGCATGCGCATCCAAGTCTTCACAGCACATCCACGGGTCATCGAAGTCAAGGTCGAAATCATCGAAATGGCCATGGTGGGCGACAGAAGCCAACGGCTGGAGGGGGAAGAGCAGCTAGCTATGCTGCAAGCCAAGAGCGCGCAGTGTAAGCTCAGAGGTGTCGACCCTGGATCAATCAACTGGAAAAAGAAAAGCTCAAGGTCCCCTTCCGGCTTTCAAGTAGAACACCCCCCCTGTTTATCAACCAGAGGGTTCTTATTTGTTGGGGGGCATCATTCTTGAGCGTTTCTTGAAAGTCAGAAACTGGTGGCTGGCTTCCCTGCAACCTACCACTTGGGTGGCTCTGATCCTGTCAGAATGGCTGTGGGTTAAAAATAGGCTAACCCCCAAATAAGTTCCCTTGATAAATGGAAACATGGACCAAAACCTGTGGTCCATATCCTGGTGACTAATTTTGACCCGTACTCGAACGGGGCGTTGCTGACTCCTTCAGGCAGCAAACCCCCAAAAAGCCGTCGGGTCCTCTTGGGCCTCAGCAGCTAGGTCTCGCTGCTGCTTCGCCAGGCCTTCCTCGCGAAAGGGTAAAAGAAGTCCTGAGACTTCTTTCCCAGGGGCCCAATGATTTAGATAAGGTAGACCTTCTACTGAAATGACGTTTAGTCAAACAAAAAATCAACTTCAATTGTTTGCTCCAAGTCAAAAAGCCAGATTGGCTCATTCAACATTAGGTCCATAAGCCACGAATATCAAAAGTGGTCAAACAAACTCTGCCGACGAACTCCGTGAAGCTCCAAACCAATCAAAAATGGGTGCCACAAAATGAAGAGCATGCCACTTGGTGCCTCCTTGAAAGCCACCCCAAAAGAAAAGCGGCCGCGAAAAAAGCGGTCGCGACACACTCTCAAGAGAAGAAAGGCCCCGCATGCGCCTGGCCCGAGGGGCCCAGTGAGACTGCACAAGAATCAAGTAAGGAAAAGCATCCGGAAAGGAAAAAAAAAACACGGCGTTCACCCCAATGGCCATCATCCTTGTGGTCCCGGGGTCCTTGTAACTGTTGGGCTTCTTTGGTTGCCCCTCTCAAAACGGCTTCCGACAGGAACAAAGATCCTTGGCCTCCTGGTTCTTCCCCCTAAACGCACCATGGCTTGGCTTCCTGTTGGTAGCTCAAACCCAAAAGGCTCCAGCAACGCGGCTAGCGAACACTCCCAAGCACCGGGCGAGCGAGGCCAAGAGGCTGCTTGGAAGGCCCCGCAACCTCAAGCCAACGAGGTGTCCGCTTTCGGCTAAGGTGCGGCTCAGAGGCTAAGGAAGCTGCTGCGTCGGGAGGTTGCCCTCCTGGCATTCAGAATTGTCAAACTCAAACTCCCCTGGCTCCAATCAAGACATGCGCCCATCCTGACACGACATCCAACTACTCCCCCTGGCCAAGGATTCATTTGAAGAGAATCCAAGGACATGAACCCCAAATGAGTCACAATCAAAACTATGCAAAGAATTAAAAACCGTGAGGATCAGAATGTATAACTATATCCAAGAGCCCTCCATACCTCAACCCGACTCCTTGGAATGCTCGAGAAATGTAGCAATGCAATTGAAGCACCAGGTTGAAGCTTGTCCCTAACCTTCATCTATTGAGTCACAATCAAAACCCGATACAAAAAATGGTCGGCCCAGAACCATGTAAAGAACTCAGAAGGCGGCCGCAGCTTTTTATGGCTGGGATCGTCCCTTACTAACCTTCACTTACCCGGGTTTTGAGCAAGTGGCTCAATTGGTGATTTGGGTGTGGGTCAAAATTAAACCAACAGGGGACCGTAGATTTTGGACCATGCTTCCACTTACAGGGCCACCCATTTTGGGTACCGCTCAAAAAACCGGAATTCCAAAATGGGTTGCCCTATCGGAAAGTGGAAGCATGGGTACCAAAACCGGCTTGCCCCGATCGATTTTAAATTTTGACCACCACCGCCATTTTGGCTCCCTCGTTTTCGCCCAAAAGTGTCCAGCGCTCCTCCAGCAGAGCTGCCGCGCCGCGCAGCTGGCCCAAGTCACTCGCAAGCCTCCGGGCCTCCTCCTCCAGCTTGGACCTCGAACTCGAGACGCGCGGCCAGCAGAACTCCTCTTGTCGGGAGGTCCATGAGGCCGGGAGCCCTGAAGGACTCCACTTGGTCAGAGTTCCCTAGTCCCGCAAGAAACATCGCAAAGGAAACTCGCCCGGTTGGCCAAAAGGATGATTAGGAAGCCTGCAAGGCCATCATCGAATGGCGAAGCTGGGCTGTCCGCTTTCAGTCCCCGTGAAAAATGTTTAGCTTTGAGTGTCCAACCACAGATATAAACTCTGAAAAGCTACAAACCTAAGGAGATGGCTGCGAACCACTATGAAAAACAATCCCAGCATCAAAGACTTGACAAATCGTCCATCCGCGTCGCATGTTACGCCCTCAGACCCGGTATGGAATTCGGTAAAGCAGGACAATTGAATCGACCTGAACGGGCTTGTTCAGAACTTGGGGATCCCACCAAAAACTGGCAGGTGTCCATGTAGTGCCCTCCTTAAAAGAAACAAAAGAGAGAGAGAGAGAGAGAGAAAGAGAAAAAGAGAGAGAGAGAGAGAGTACCCCTCCAAAATGACCCACCCACATCTCACCGCCGAATAGGTTCGAGGAACTTGGCTCGGCTTTGGTGAACTTGGGCCCTGGCACGTCGGGCGCCGCGAGCACCGTCCTCGCTTGGACTCCAAGGCTCACATGAAGCCGGTGACTCCCTGCATTTGTTGCACCATTCGGGTGTGTCCTTTTTTTTCAAGCTACCCATTGTTTTTCGTGGTTTTAACGGGAACCCAAAGGCAACGCCACAACTTTGGGAGGTCCAACCTGAAAACACAAACACGCCTATTTGCCGTTGCAAGGAAGGTCCTGTGCTCATGCTGATTCTGGAGGCCACTCGCCTGTGAGCCAGTAATCTTTCAGATCGACGCCGGAAAGCCCAGGCCTCCTGTTCCAGATGCTGGCACCGGGCTTCCAGCTGTCTGCAACTCGCAACTCGCAACTTCTGGAAAGGTGAATGCACAGTTGTCTCCTTCCACCACAAAGGCCATGTTATCATCCACAAGTTGTTGCTGGCCAACAACGCGCGCTTTCCCCTGCAAATTAAGGAATGCATCAATGCTCGCGCCTGTGCTTCAACGCCATCTCGTCTGGCTCATCCTGCACTTCGTTTACCTTGCACGTGGCAATGGCAAATTACCATAATTGAAAATTGGAAACATGGAATCCCCCAAAGAAGGACCCTCCTCATAACTCGTCTTACCCGCAGGGGCGGGCGTTCTACTTAGCCCGCCATCGCGCTTCCATGGGCAAAGCGCTGCTTCGCCTCCGACTGCATCGCTTGCAAGGCCGCTGCTTCGTGTTCCTGCCACATAGCTTGTCGGCGCGCTTTGTCTGCGAGCTTGTCGCCTCCGTCTGGCGCAGAAGTCCGTAGAGGACTGCTGTCTTTGAGCTAACCTTGCAGCACTTGCACGAGGAAATGAGCCGAAAGAAGCAGCGCCTGGCTTGCCGTACTTGCTGCCATCGCATGCAGAGCCTCGGAGATTTTGATGCATTGGAAGCTTCAATGATTCAATGATTCATGGGGCAGCCTTCAAATCCATTCCAAAGGTTCCGACCTTGAGGTGTGCTCGGGTCATGTGCACTTGTGCCTGCGTGCCGAATTGCTTGGCCCCTGAAAACCATCCGAGAGGCCTCCTCCGGCCCCCCCGAAACCTCGCGCCTGCATCGCGGCGTTCTCCCGCGAGAGGGCCCGGATGCGGCCAGCCCATTCTAGCCTGGATGCCATGGCCGCTCCCTTAACCTGGAACCCACAAGGGCCAATTTCATACTCGCAAAGATCCTACAATGGGTGGGGGGGGGGATGGATGGATGGGGGGTCCCCCAAAAGGCGTTTCCTCAGATTGGCTTTGTGATTTGTGGGATCCAGGTTCATCTCTACGGCACACTCTGTGCTCGGACTCTCGCGCGCGGTGCCTGGGAGTCCCTCGTCGCCTCGCAAGCTCCGCCCGCGCGGCCTGGAGCTCCGCGGCCTGACGGAGGACGCCGCAGCCAAAAAGCCCCGAGGAAGCGCCCGCTGCGTCGCGCGTGCGCGGCGCCCGGACTTTGTTCTTTTTTGCTCCAACATCGCGTCACCGAAGTAGCCCCTACAGAAAGTTGTACAGCAGGTAGAGGCGTGCACCGGAACGCAATCAAGTTCACAGCAAAAGCAATAAGTGGTTCGCAGCTCAGAAACAAACCATCACTCCTACAGCACATTTCAAGAGGTGCGGTTGATTCCGATCCTGGCACCCGCTCTTGGTAAAATTCGCCCATGCAGAACCAAAAAGGGGCAGGACGTGCAAGCCGTATTGCACACCCGTTTGGACGGTGTCAAGAGTTGGAGTCTGCCGCTGGGAACGACTGAAGCATGCCTCGGCGCAGTGAAACTCCAGATTGATCCCTAATGTGCGAAGGTGGCGGTGGCATGGTAAGTGAAGCACCCAGCCAAAAGGCAACGGATCACCGTCTCATCGATTCTCTGCGGCAATCGCCTTGAGCCTGCCATGCGCGGCGATGAGAACGAATCAAAACTCATACCTTCAGAAGTTGACATCCAACTTCCGGAGCTTTGCAGAACATTTGCTGCATCTGCCAGACTTGGACGCAAGCCGAGGCACTTCTTCAGGCAATCTGCCGCGTCAAGATCCTCCACAAGATCGAAAAGAGACTTCTTTCCGCCCTCGAAGGAAACCGCCGGGTCGTCAAACCTTCAGCATTCACACTCGACGCAGCTGCCACTTGCTTCAATTCGCACCAGACTCTGACATCTATGCCCCAGGCCATTCCTTGGTCATGTGCATGGTCACTCCGCTGGCCAGAAC